CATTTGATGGGATCTGAACTCAGGTCCTGTGCAAGAGTAGCAAGCATCAGTCACTGAGTCATATTCCCAACCTCAGCTAGATTAACTCATATATTAATTATCCAAAAGTCAACCCATATACATCCTCCCAGATCCCACTCACTCCCAAACCAAGAGAGAGAAGATGATGAGGGAAAAGGTAGTGTGAGGTTCCCCAGAGCCTGGCCTGTGCCTGGCTACAATCCCAAGTCAAATAGGCCACATCTACAGGATCTCTGAACACTTTCTGGTTTGTAAATGTAGCCAAGGAATCTCTTTAGGTACAGCTGCCTTAAGTATTCGTGGACAGGTCAATCACACCAAAAAGAAAGGCTGCCCCTTTGATTGACTCCTAAGCCACCATCAACATCATAGAGAGAGAGATCGGGCTGTGCCTTTCAGAGACCCATCTTGTATTATCCTCCCCCCCCCATTGATAGATACAGTTATAATTTGATGGAAAGTGTTCCCCACTGGCTCACATATTTTAGCACCTGGTCCCTAGCTGGTAGTGCTATTTGAGAAAGTTGTCACTGGAGGAAATGGGTCACTAAGGGCATACCTTGAGGCTTTGTAGCCCCGACCTATTTCCTGTTCACTATCTCCTTCCTGAGATAGTGCAACATGCTCAGACAGTTTCCTGCTCCTGCCACCATGCCATCCCTGGCGTAATGGACTGTGTCCCACGGGAACTGTGGCTGTCCGTGTGTCCCAGTGTCATCTGAAAATTCAATGTCCTCTCAAAAATAAAGCCTTTCTCCCTTGATCTGCTTTTGTTAGAGTGGGTGGGTAGATAGATAGATAGATAGATAGATAGATAGATAGATAGATAGAGACAGAGCATGGATATATAGATGATATATAGACAATAGCAAGAGTACTTTAGAGACATCCTTAGGGGGAAAAAAGAGACTAGGATAATGTTTTATAAGTGCCTCTGTGGGCCAAATATTACACTTTTTTAAAGATTTTTTTATTTTATGTGTATGGGTGTTTTGCCTGCCTGTATATCTGTGCACTATGTGAGTGTCTGATATCCCCAGAGGCCAGAAGAGGGCAACTAGTTCCCTGGAACTGGAGTTACAGACAGTTGTAAGCTGCTGTGTGTGTGCTGGGAATTAAACCCTGGTCCTCTGGAAGAGCAATCAGTGTTCTTAACCAATGAGCCCTCTCCCCGACTCCCACACTACATATCTTTATATGGATATATGGATGACATTTCTCAATACATAATGAAACCTATATAATATGCAATTATCTTTGTAGCCTACACAACTCATGGGACATTAAAGGCAGTATTGTCTCCATTACACAGATGAAGTCACTGAGACTCACAAGTCATCTCTAACTAGGTCTTTTTTTTCCTTTTATTGAAAAAAGATTCTTTTCTCATACACTATATCCTGGTTACAGTTTCTCCTCCCTCTGCTACTCCTAGTTCCTCTCCACCTCCCTTCCCCTCCACTCTGGATCCACTCCCTTTCTGTCTCTCATTAAAAAAGAACAGGTTTCTAAGGTCTAACAACAAAACACGGCAAAATACAATATAATAAGATGAAACAAAAACTGTCATATCAAAGTTGGACACGGCAACCCAACAGAAGGAAAAGAGTCCTAAGAGCAGGCAGAAGAGTTAGATACCCACACTTTCTCACAGTTAGGAGTCCCATAAAATACTTAGCTAATAGCTATGATAATACACAGAGGGCCTAGTGCAGACATGTGTAGGCCCTGTGCTTGCTGCCTCAGACTCTGTGAGCTGATGATATGCACCTTGCTTAGTTGATTCAGAAGGCCTTGTTCTCCTGGTGTCCTCCATCCCTCTGACTCATAATCTTTCTGCCTCAATTGTGGGAGTCTTTGAGCTTGAGGGGAGGGATTTGATGGAGACCTCCAATTTAAATTCTCTCTCCATGTAATGACTTGCTGTGGGACTCTGCATCTGTTCCCATCTGCTGCCAGAGGGAGCTTCTCTGATGATGACTAGACAAGGCACTGATCTATTGGCATTGCAGAATATCATTAGGAATCATTTCATTGGTATTTGGTTTCACCATAGTTCTCTGGAATATCTAGTCTCTGGTTCTTAGTTATCCAAGCAGTGTCAGGTATGGGTTTCTTCTCAAGAAGTGGGTCTTAAGTCCAATCAGACAATGGTTGTCCACTCCCACAAATTCTGTGCCACCATTGCCTGAGCACATCTTGCAGGTAGGACAGATTGTAGTCTGAGGGTTCTATGACTGGGTTGGTGTCCTCTTTCTGTAGCCTGCAAGAGTGCCTTCCCACACCAAAGAGACTATAATGTAGGAGTGAAGGCTCATGTGGCACCAGCTCAACTTCTCAATGTTCAATGAGGTTCATGTGGCAATGGGGTCCTGCTGTCAGTTTGCAGAGAGCAACCCTTTGTCTTAGTGACCACCTGGGTTGCTTGGATATTTCCATGGGACTCAATTGAAAGCAACTAGTCCCTCCATTGGAAGTATCTCCTGGTGACAAGTGACAGCCTGTTGAGATTCCATATCTCCCATTACTAGAAACCCTCATTAGGATCACCTTCACAGATTCCAGGAAGTTTCCACTGTGCTAGGCTTCCACACCATCCCCCAAATGTCCTCAGCCATCTCTCTCTCCACCCCATCTCCTCCAGCTCAGGCTGGCCTCAAACTCGTGATCTTCCTGCCTCTGGCTCCTTCAGCAAATCCTACTGGTGTGCACTACCACTACCTGCTCTCTAACCGGGTCTTAGACCTGTTAAGTGTGGTGTCCAAGTCCACCCTGGTACTTTTTCTGCTAAACTTGAAGACACCTCCAGAAATGAGTTAGCATCTCCACAGGGCACATGAAGGCCATCAGCCCTGCAATGACAGTGACAGAGGAAGCTGCACTAGCGGAACCCAAACTTGCAAGTCAGGGGCTGCAGGAACTGTTTGCTGCCTCCTGGACAGTCTGTCTCCAGGAAACTGCTGGTTTGGGTAAATGAGAAGGAAGCTGACTTCCTGGCAGCCAGTCACTGAAATGTTAATTTGGAAAATTGCCTCAAATAAATGTAAGAAGCATAAACTAACACTTCAAACCAAAAGCAAAGCAATTTGAGCCAAATGGGAGACTGATGATCTAGTCATCCTTCCTCAGAAAAGCAATTTTCTGTTCTTTTGCAAACAGTCACAAAGCCGTGACCTCCTCCTGCCTCCAGGCCACAGTCAAGATACACAGTGCACAGGGCACACTGCAAAGTCCAGAAAGTCTTGTCCTTGATAGGGACCTCCCAACCAAGAAGACAGGTCCTAGGATGATGCTTTCTAAATTAAATCTGCCACAGCTGGACAATTTGCTCTCTAACCAGCTGGCCTCTGCTCCTCAGTGAAGCTTGTGCTGGGTGGGTGTGTATGCTCTGCCCTGACCTCTTCTCTGCCAGCAGGGCAGCCTCCAGGAGCAAGATCATTCCCGGAAGATCAAACATCTGGTACCTTCAGGAATTCCACACTGTTTCTCTGAGCTTGTCCCCAAGAGGAAGCAAGCAGATGTTCTGGATCCATCAACTGCCTGCGCTGTCCCTCTGCAGATTGCAAAAGCATTGCTATTCCAAAGGGTGTCCAGCTATCCGCTAGGCTCCCTGTCATCGCTTAAAGCACTGTTTTCTCAAAGTTAACGCCTGTAGAGCTTCAAGATTCAGTCACACTCTGCACACCTCTCACCACCTCTCTCTGCATGACTGAGCAGCCACCCGTAGCATCAGTTCCAGCGACGTTCAAACTATCATTTTAAGCCTGTGGGTTTCCTGGGAAAAAGGTGCTTGCCACCAAACCTGACCATCTGGGTTCAATCACCAGAACCCACCAGGTGGAACAAACTCCCCCAAGTTTTCCTCTGACCTCTCCCCTCAAACTGTGGCTTGTGTACACACATGCACACACACACACACACACACGTAATAAAGTAAAAATAAATTTATAATTTTAATTATATTCATTTTAAAAGAAAACTACCACAAAAGAAAAGCCAGTATCACTTGGGAGAGAAGCCAAAATAAATACAATGGAAGGCAAAACAGTAACAAACCAAAATAAGCAGGAAGATGGGACAATTGTCTTTAGTTGTGTACCAAGAAGTAAAGCCAGTGGGGAGATGCATGCCAATGATCTCAGCACTCAGAAAGCTGAGACAGGAGGGGGCAGCTGAATTTGCTATTATTTTTGGTGTGGTGGTGGTGGTTTTTTGTTCTGGGTTTGTCTCTTGTTTCAGATGGTTGGTTGTCTGGCTGCTGGCTAGCTGTCTGTCTGAGTAACTGGTTGGGTGGGTGGGTGGGTGTTCGGCTGGTTGGTTGTCTGGTTGTTTGGATGTTTGGCTAGCTGGCTAGCTGGCTGGCTGACTGACTGACTGGCTAGCTGGTTGACTTTTTGGGTGGATGGGTGGGTGGGTAGGTGGGTGGGTGGGTGGTTGACTGTTTGGTTAGTTGTGTTGTCTGGATGGCTGGTTGGTTGGTTGGTTGGTTGGTTGGTGGATTAGCTGTCTTGTTGGGTGGTTGACTATTTGGTTAGTTGGTTGGCTGATTGATTGGTTGATTGATTGATTGATTGATTGATTGGGTAGGTGGGTTGGTGGGCAGCTGGTTGGTTATCTGGTTGGATGGATGGATGGATGACTGGCTGGCTGACTAGCTATTGACTGGTTAGCTGGTTGACTGGCTGACTGGTGACAGGATCACACTATAGCCCAGACTGGCATTAACTTGAGATCCTCCTATAGTAACCTCCCCATGTTGAGATAAAAGAAATTCAACACCACATACAGCTTGGATTTTCTATATGTCTGTCACTATTGTTTGCTGAAATGAAGGGTAAGTGGAAAGGAGGGACAGAGGAAGCAAGTTTCTGGAGTGAGTGGCAGACACAAGATGAAAGTCTCTACCAAAACTGTGCACAGCCCTGCATCCCTACTTAGGAGCTGGTGATGGCAAAGAGGATGGGGGTGGAGTTGTGATTGGGAGACTTTATCTTCCACAGGTGATTTTTTCCTCAGAACATAAGGTCACCCTCCAGGAGTAAGAGGGGTAAAACAGCAGATTGGGAAAGTCTGGGAAGGTTTGGAATGGCCAATGAAAGGGCAAGAGCCACCCTGGGTGATAAAAAGATGAGACTTCATGTCCTGTGTATCAGTTTCCTTTATCGTTGCTATGACAAATTACCCAACAAAAGAAGTTTCAGGGGTTTGGGCTCACAGTTTGAGGGTACAGTACAACATGGTAGGTAATGCATGGCAGCAAGAGCATGAGGCAGGCGGTCACATGACATCCACAGTCAGGAAGCAGAAAGAGGTGAATACTAGTGCTCAGTTCACTTTCTCCTGCTCATTTTTTTCTCCTAGTCCATGGGATGGGACTGCCCAAGTCCAGGTAAACCTTCTTGGAATGCCCTTGGAGATATACCAGAGGGCTAGCAAGACAGCTCAGCAGTTAAGAGAGCAAGTGTTCCTTCAGAAGAGCTAGTTCGGTTCCCAACACTCACATCAGATGTCTCACAACCACCTGTAACTCCAGCTTGGGCACCTACAGGAAGACAAGCACATACAGTAGAGGATCTGACACCATCTACTGAACTCTGTAGGCATGCACAAGGTGCCACAGATATACATTCATACAAATACCCATACATATAAAATAAAATAAAAACTTAAACAAATAGAATTTTTTAAAAGGGACTGGGAATATAACTCTGTGATACAGCACTTACCTGTTAGATTCAGTGCTCTAGGTTCAATCCCCATTACTGAAGGGGGAAAAAGCCATTTTGCACAGTAGGATCCTCTTTTGTCTTTTGTGTAGATCCAAGGCAAGAGTGTCAAGAATGGCCCAGCATGAACCAAAGCCATCATAAAAGTACAAGCTCTTATAAAACTCAAGTTGTTCTGGAATGGAGAAGGGAATTACAACTTAAAATTAATCTAGGAAATGCTTTAAAATGCTAAAAGGAGTAAGCCGACTTCAGCATGAACCAAAAGGTTAAAAATGAGATTGATCCAAACTTCAATGCCTTCCATGCAAGATCAATTCCTGGCACTTTGCATATATGTGCAGCAACTTCATTGACAGAACAAAATTCATCTGGGCTACGTGTCAGCCTCTACAAAGAGGGCATCAGCTCAGAATGTAGAGAGTTTTTTGTGAGAAGCAGCTGTTTAACACACCAGAAAGCGCATCCATCTTTCTCTGTAAGTGTAAGAAAGAAAATTAAGCCATCACTCAGAGTGTCACATTTGCTGTTTCGATGAAGAAAAATTCAATCAGGAAAAAGAAAAAAAAACAAAAACCAACAACCACAGGTCTCCTACCAGAAAAAGGAGGAAGGAAAGAAAGGAGGAAGTAGGGGCTGGAGAGATGACCCTACAATTAAGAGCACATGCTGCTCTTGCAGAGGACCTCAATCTGATTCCCAGCACCCATATTGGGCTGTTCACAACTGCCTGTAACTCCAGCTCCAGGGGATCCGACACCCTCTTCTGGATCCTGGGAGCCCTGTGTTAGAGTGTGTGAGCATGCACATGTGCACACACAAGTGCACACACATAATTAAAATAAAATAAACCTTTTTTTTTAAAGAAGCAAGAAGCTCTCGTCTTCCAGTCTGGGAACTAGTTCATAGATGGCTTGAGCTTGCTCATGGTCATAGGCTAGACCTCACTAGAACCCCCAGTACAGACTTCTACACTGAACAGTTGGGTCTGATGTCAGTAGCCAGAGGATGCAGTTGCCTTTGGCCACTGATGCCAGAGGTCAGAGGTTCGTAACAACTCTTTATACAAGAGCATAGTACAAACTAAAGTGATGGTCCAATATTAGTTATTGAGGGAGGATTGTATCCCCAGGCAACATTCATTGAAATCCTAATCTTCATCAGTTCAGAATGTGACATCATTTTGAAATAGAGTAGTTACAAATATAATAGTTAAGGTTCTGTGAGTTTGAGGCCAGCCTTATCTACACAGTGAGTTCCAAGACAGCCAGTGTTACACAGAGAAATCCTGCCTTGAAAAAACAAAATAGATTTTTTTTAAAGGGAGGGGGTCCTTAATCTAAAATGACTGGTAGCTCCCAGCATAGGCCTCTACTCTCCACACTGTCTTGAACATGTGCATACATGTCCACACCTTGTCACACATACATCCACATGTATACATACACACATGGATGTACACACACAAATTGTTTTGCATGCTTAACATGGGAAGGAAGTTCTCTGTGTGAATTGAGTGAGAGCATGAGGGAACTAATAAGGATGTAGTCAGATGCTAGCTGGGAAAGAAAATTGAGCCACACACCTCCCTGGCCAAGTCTGATCCATCTTAGTTACCAATTCTAATGGGATATACCATCTCCCTCCAGCTAAACTCAAACCGGAGTGACCCCGCCCCCACTCCAAAATACAGTCCTCTGAGATCAGATGTGTGAGTTGCTAGATCATATAGACCTAAAGTCAAAGAATTTCTTAGCCCATTGTTGAGACCCAGACCCAAAGCCATCTATAGAGCTGGAAGTCGGGGTCCTAACTCAACTGAAAGCAGAATTCTGGAAACTTTCCTAGATACTGCTTACTTTAGAGAACAAACTGCAGAAAAACACACAGTGAGTATACAACCTATGGAAAGTCACAGACTTGGTCACTTTAGGAGCTGGGCCTCAGCCAGGGTCTGGTGGACTTTGGAGCCCTCTTTCCTCTTCTTTAGTAAACCATCTCCTGTGACCATCCATATGTCTGTACAATTCAGGAATGTGCAGAACTCTGGCTGGTGATGGCTCTGCAGAGAGGATCAGCCACACCTCCTGTCCTGCCCAGTAATATCCCTACTAGGCTAAGCTCTCTATAACAGCCCCAAGGCAGGACCTTATATCCCAGTGAGTACCTTCACTAATTTGCTAGACTCCGAGGCACCTGCAACACCACCTCTGAGCTCAGACCCACCCCCACCCTGGTACATAAATGTAAAGAATCCCTTCGTTCTGTCATTGGATCTCCTATCCCAGCTTCCTCCACTGAGAGGCTTTTACCACTAACAACGATTTCACCTGAGAGCTGTCTCAGCACATCTCTCTATGGAAACTAAGAAGTATTATTTGAACCAGTGCCCTCCCAACTCAGAGCTGCATCTGTGACACAAGTGTTCGGGTTCACTCCCTTCCTGACGCTGCTCCCTCTTGTACACAAATGGAGACCTGCCCCAGTTAGCAGCAGGCAGGCATATCGTTGAAATATGCCAGGTTAGAGTCCACTTACATCACAGTAATACACTGGCAGTGCCTCTCCAGGATGGGGGTGATATCCTGAGCTTTTTTGTTTTGTTTCTACAGCGCTGGTCTCTTTGTGCTAGGCAAGTGTTTTGCCACTCGATACATTCCATTCCACCCTTTTTGCTCGTTAGGTTTTTGTTTTGTTTTGTTTTTGAGACAGAGTCTCAGTAAGCTTTCTCAACCACACCTCGAACTCCGGATCCCTCCTGTTTCAGCCTCCCAAGTAAATAGGATTACGGGCCTCTGCATACTTGTTGGCCCATGTCTTCTAGAATAGGTCTTGGTGAAGAGCAGACATCCAATTAGTGCATTCTCGCCAACTCTAAGGGTTTTTTTAAATTAATTTATTTTGTATATTATATGTATATGTGTATGTCACAGCACACGTGTGCTGGGCAGAGGTCAATTTGTGGGAGCTGGGTCTCTTCTTCTAACATGCAAGATCGAACTCCAGTGTTAGATTTGGTGGCAAACGCCTTCATCAGCTGATTTGTCCTGCAAGGCCTGTGTGTCTGACAACAGGCTCAGAAAAAAAAAAAACAACGTTAATTCCTGTAACCTTAGCCCACTTCCGGTTTTCTCTCCGCTTCCGCTCCGTGCGGCAAGCTGGGTAGAGCTGGGGCGGGGATAGAGGCGGAGCTAAGAGCTGGGAGGCGGAGCCTATCAGGACGCTTTGAAGTTTCCCAGGCCCTTCCGGTGCGTGACGGGAACTACAACGCCCACAATGCCTCGCGGTCCCGTGACTGTGCTGTCGCGAGAACTGGCGGCTTGGGGGCGTCTGCGCCAAGAAACCGAAGTGTAGGTGACGGTTCCGAGACATCGCCGCCAAGCTGGGCACCGGGGAGATGGCCGAGACGGACCCGAAGACCATGCAGGACATCACCTTGGTGGTAAGCGGAAGGCTCACATGGGTTCCGACACTCCGCGGCCGCTCTCGACCCTGGCATGGGGTGTGGCCAGCGGCCTCGGCCGGCGCACCTGCGGGGCTCGCCCTATCGCGGCCCCGGCACGGACCCTCACGACCTGACCAAACCCGACCTAGCAGGGCCTTGCTAAAAGTCTCGCCCACCTGCCGGGACTCCCCTCTCACCTCCCCACCCCCCCCCACTCCACCCCCGCCGGCGTCCTCGCCTCCCCTTCCTCCCAGGAAAGGGGTCTCGGAATAAGCTGGAATCGGCGGACTTGTTCTGTTTTCTCGTAGGTGGAGACGCTCTTGCAGCAGATGCAAGACAAGTTTCAGATCATGTCCGACCAGATCATTGGAAGGAATATCCTTTTGATTCGGAGGCAGCTTCTTAATGGTGGGAATAAGCGGGAGGTTTGCAAACCGACTTAAGGTTTAGAAATTCCTTTTTTTTTTTACAAGAAGTTTGTTTTTCTTATTTTTAATTATGTGTATAATGGGTGCGTGTGAGTGAGGAGACTGGACTAGAGGCATTGGATCCCCTGGAGCTGGAGTTACAGGCCGTTGTGAGCTGCCCAGTGTGGGTACTGGGAACCACACTCAGGTCCTCTGCAAGAGCCTCAAGTGCTCATAATTCTAAGCCATCTCTCCAGCCACACTTAAAAATTTCTTCACTGATTTTAGCCATACTGCGTTCCTGAGGAGGACTGCGCAAGAGCCAGAGACGTGGCCAAACTACCCAAGTTCCCTGTTGGGGGTCCTCTGGAACACCAGTAAAGGAGCTGGGCTATGTGGTGACTGTCGGCTGGGAGTGCTCACTGAGCCCTTCAAGTCTCCAGACCTCTTGTGTCTTTACCAATGGGATATAGAGTCCTCTGGGTTTAATGAATGAGGAAACCAGGGCTTAGGAAAGTAACTTACCGGGGTACCCTGTACCTCTGGCCACCAGGCAGTCAGTGCAGCCAGAAGAAACGGGAAGCGGCTGCTGCTGAAGGCAGGCTTCGGGGGCCTGGAGGATAGGGACAGAGTGGGGTGTTGGCGTGTGGGCTCTTTAACCGTGCCACTCGATGACATGAGCAGTCGCATCGATGACCTGGAGAAAAATATCGCCGACCTCATGACCCAGGCTGGCGTGGAAGAACTGGAAGGGGAAAACAAGATTGCTACTGCACAGAAAAGTTGAAGGTAAGGGAGGGCATCGGCGTGCCAAGGCAAAGCACAGAAAGTGGCCTTCCGTGCAATGTTGATGTCGTTGATGGATTTCACCTGTGTCTTTTCCCAGCCGGCATCTCTCTGCACCCCGCCCAGGAAGTCCATGTTTTCAAACTGTTCCTGCCAAAACTAATTCCTTGGGTAGAATTTACATTTCCACTTTTCTTTACTTAAAACTGTATCACTGCTGGGCATGTCCAAGCTATACACATCATAACAATGCTGCCAACTACAAATTTCACACTTGAAGAGTGAAATTGCTGATAAAAGACAGACCTCGTTTTTTTAAATACTTCTATATGAGTGTTTTGCTTGCATATGCACCTCCTGCAAACCTAGTGTTAGGGGAGACGAAAAGAAAGCATCAGATCCCTTGGGACTGGAGTTACAGACAAGACCTGCCACCGTGTGGGTGCTAGGAACCACACCTAGGTCCTTTCCAAGAACAAAAAGTGCTCTTAACTGCTGAGCCACCTTAGCCCCTTGGTATTGAATTGTAAGTTAGGTTTACGGTTTTGTGATAGGCCTCCTGGTGTCCTGGGCCCTGCATTGGACGCACTGGAACTTGGACACATCTCTTTCTGGGCATGTGTTTTGGTGCCCTACCCTGGAAGATTATTCATTGTTTTCTTTTAGAAACAGCAGAGAATTCAGGTTACCTACATGAGTGTCTATCATAAACTCTAGAGACTTTTGTGGCTTTTATTGTGAACTCGACTCCTTTAGGCTGAATTAAATTTCCACTAAATCATTTCAGATATCAAAAGATGACAAGCACAAAACCACTTAATGTAGTGAATTTCTTTGTAGTTTCGCCTGTGTTTGTGGGGAGAAGGGCATTTACAACACTCAATTTTTATTTTTTATTTTTGACACACTCCCACTATGCATCCCTGGCTGACTGGCCTGGAACTTGCTGTGTAGACCAGGATGGCCTCAGAGACCTACCTGCGTCTGCCTCTGCCTCCTAGATTCTGGGATTAAAGGTTATTTTCTGGCCTTGGCCTGGAAACAGCTTTTCAGTGACTGAAATAAGTTGTTCTGAAATCCAAGAGACTAGATGGGGGTTGAGAGGGTCAAAATACATAAAAAATACACTGGGCTGCTTAACTGCGAGATGCTCATAAGTGCTTGGCATGTGCTGTGTAATCTTCGGTCCTGTTGAGAGATGAGCTTCAGTGGGCCTTGGAAGCTCTAGGGGTTTTTGCTGTGCTGTGGCAGAAAAACCCCATGAATCAAGAACTGAAGATTGTATGATTGAAGATATTCAACTAATAGGGAAACACAAAGAAAGGAATGAAAATAGGAAGTGGATTCAGAGAATTATGTATAAAGATGTCCAAATAAGGGTCTGGAGAGATGGCTCAGGTGTTAAAAGCACATATGCTCTTGTAGAAGACCCTAGTTCAGTTCCCAGCAGTCACATGAGACCTTACTCACCACTGTCTGCAGCTCCACCTCCAGAGGATCCAGCACCCTCTTCTGGCCTCCACAAGGACCTGCCCTCACGTGTACACACCCACACGCAGGGACACACAGACACATAAGTAAACTTCATATTTACAATGGCACTTTCTTAAGACTTGTAATAAATTGAATTTTCTAGAATAGTATGCATGGAGAATTCACAGATGACTAATTGGAAAATGTTCTTGGCTGTTCTGGGAGTGGCTTTGGTTGCCCTCGCTGCTGCTGTTGATGTTTTTTTTTTTTCCTTCACAGGTGCTGACATTCACAATGAGTCCAGAACATCTTTTTCCCAAGCCAAGAGAAAACCAAGTGGCTTTCTGCAACTAACTACTATGTGTCGACAGGTTTATGAAGCGTGCATCCTTATCACAGCCTGCATAGTCCATAGAGTGTCCCTCCCCTGCACCCCAGTTTCTCAAACTTGGTATCTTCACATCTTGGTCAGTTGTCTTAATTATTAAACACTAAAACTTTGGCGGTTTCTGCATAAAATTGTCAAACTTTTTAGTGAATTTTGAAGTCCTTTCCTGCTGTTCCTCTTGTGGTAGTTACTGTTTGATGACGTGACAGAGTACTTCCCAATTAGGTGACTAGTAACTCCTCCCCTTGGCAGAAGCCGTGATGTGAGACGTGTACGTTTAGGGTTCCTTCATTTTCAGCACAAACTGGCTGTTGAGCCGACACTAGAGTGTCAGAAATACTTTTCCAAATGCCAGGAACATTTAACAAGTGTTTGTGTCGAGGCGTCTGTCAGAGTTTTGCATGAGATTCTAGTAGCATTGGTAGGGCCTACAGTGCTCATCTGACAGGATGTCAGAACCCGGTGACCCTGGCCTCCCTCGAGCTACTGTCTAAAAGGGAAGAGATCAAAAGACAAAAGACCCGAGTAAGTTCACTGCAGGTCACATGGCTGAAAAATGCCAGTGACTGGTGGGAGGCTCTGGTTTTTAAGAAATACTATTTTACTTGAACTATTTCTTGTCTAAATTCTTGCACAGTGAGTTCTATTATTGATTAAAGAAGAGAGATGAATTCTTTACATTTGGAATTCCAGTGTCTGTAGGCTTAGCCTCCAGGCCACTTTTAATGACCTGGAAGGCAATCCATGTCACTGTCCCAACAAAGTGATTTAATACAATAAAAAATACAATAATTGGAAAAGTTGAAAAATGGTGTGGTCTTTCCTAGAGGAAACCCTGACCAAGTAGGACATTCTGTTTTCTCATTTGTGTTGCAGACGGCTAAGAACAACTTCTGAATTATGGGATGGGATGGGATGGGATGGGGAGTGGGGTGACACAGGCTCCTGAAAGTGTGTTGCTGGGCTTGCTCTCAGGCAGCAGGAGTTCCTGTCATCAGACCCAAACCAGTGAGCAGCACTGCAGGTTGAGTCCCTCAAGCTGCCCTCCGTTAGGCTGGGACAGACCAGCTGCAACCTGCATGCAGGACTTTCTTGATGCTTATAAATGAAAACTCCAGGTCTGCTTGTCACCAGGAGACAGTAGTGGGATGGGATGGTTCAGGAAGGAGTTTGTGACCTAAGGAATCGGCTTCGGAGACAGATCCCTGAACCAGAAATGCCTCTCGTGATAAAAGTGCTGGGACCCCTGTTGCTGGGATGACCTTGTGTCTAGTGTGTTTGTTACCACAGTTTTCACATAGAAAAGGGGGTGCCATGTTATATTATCAACTGAAGCCTCTGGAAAAACAAGCACAGAGTAGGAGGGGATGGGTACTTGAGAAGAGTGACCTGGGAAGACTTCCACAGGGGAACTTGTCACTGTAGGATGCCCAAGAAGAAAGGTTATGATCCTGTTGGGTTTCACACTAGGTTAGAGTCCTGCCTATTCACAGTGCAAGCCAATCAGAACCTCTGAAAGCCCTCGAGCAGGGAAGTCAAACCTGATCCTCACCTGACTCCCATCTCTCTGAACTATCTGCAGGTAACTAGGCACAGGAAGATACCTGTCTGTGTTAACCTCAGTTCACAGGTGCCATAGGCTACCTATGTAAATACAGATCTCAAGTGTCCGGCTGTTGTTCCAAGCTTTGGAGTAAAGCCTTGACCTTACATATAAAACAGGTTTTGCAGCCTGTTCAGCCTTCACGGGAGACTGGACCTGCATGGAGAACAGGCGTGGGACTTGAGCTCTGAGTATACTACAGATATCCACTGCAGCCCTCCTAGTCAACCAGACGGCTGCCTTCCTGGCACCACCTGGGCCACTGGAGAAACTCCTGCATTGGGATCCCCTGTTCTCCAAGGAGCAGCCTCCAAATGTTGCAGGCAACCTCATTTTCTCAGCCCTGCTCATCAAACTCCCTTGTCAGTCAGCTCCAGTCTCTCACCCAGGGAGAGCTAACCCTGTTCTCCTGGGTCATTCACAGACCAAGAAACAGCCCAGAGTCCCCATCAACCTTGTCATTTGTCCCCTAATGTATGCACCCTGCTTTCCTTGAGCTACAGGGTTTTAAACTGACTAGGGTATTGAGCAATGGCATCCTCCAAGGCTTGCAGTCCCTTGGAAATGAACTTGATAGACATGTTTGCAAGCTACAGGCTGCCCATAAAGATAAGTGTGTTCCACTCTTACTTTGTGTTATGTGTTTTTAATTGGGCCAAACTAGAAGAATTTGTATAGTATGTTGGTATATAGCCCCTAAAATGACCTGGAAACAGCACTGGTTACCCCTTGCCTAGAAAGCACTTGTGGGCAGGATTACTGTTTTTTATTTTGTGTGTGGTGTGTGGGTGTGGGTGTGTGTGTTGCAAGTGAAGGTGTCGTTGCAGGTGTGTGGGTGTGGGTGTGGGGTGGGTGTGTGTTGCAAGTGAAGGTGCTGTTGCAGGTGCAGACACCTGGGGATATCTGCAAGTCCATTGACCTCCACTGTGGGTTTGGGTTCCGGGCATCAAACCCATGTCACTGGGCCTCTCTGGCAGGGGCTTTTACCCACTGACCACCTGGCCAGCCTGCAGGGCTTATTTAGAGATGCTGTGATGTGCCGAGGGCTTCCTTTGCACTGTTTGCTTTAATCCCCATGATGACATTAGGTTTTTATGTGACCCTTCTCCTTTGAAAAACTAATCCAAGGGTCTGAGTTATATGAGGTCAAAGCAATGTGTCACAGCAGCTATCTGATCATACAGCACCCTTTCTGCTGTCTCTTGCCTCTCTGAGCTGAGATGTCAGTCTGTCCTCTGGGCCATCCCAGAGTCAACTCCACAGCCAGAGTAGCTCTTAAGATTTAGATTCAAAGGGCCAGTTGTTCATTTTTCAATTGAGCATGGCCTAAAATTAAGTAACAAACACACCAGACTTGAGTTGTCTAATTACTTAGGGGTCAGGCATTGA